TCTTTCAGATAGTTTTAAGCACAGCAACACAGCAGTATGCAAGTGCTACTTTTGAAATGGACAGTTAATGACTACGGTCAGGGGAAGATACTGCTAGAGGACATACCTACAAAGAAGTCAGTATTTATACTTCTGTGATACTGAGCCTGTAGGACTGCACAGCAACTCTGTGAAACCAACACTTTAGAAGCAGAACTATAGCTAAAATAAACTATAGTAAAACTAGTGTACCAGCTGTGACTGTTTCTGGAGGGGTCTGATCTAGCCACAGTGATGCATGCCACAGTTATATCCCAGCTGGATTACTGTAATACACTCTGCCTGGGGCTGCCTTTGGGAAGTGTTTGGAAACTTCAGTGGGTACTTAAAAGTTGCGGCCAGAATGTTAACTGAGTCTGGTTACAGCAACTCCACTGGCTGCCAATGCATTTCCAAGGTGAATTCAAAATGTTGGTTCTAACTTATAAAGTCCTAGACAGCTTGGATCCAAGCTATCTCAAAGACATTTCTCCCTTATGAGCCTGCTCGGGTGTTAAGATCATCAGAGGAGGCCTTTCTCTTGGTACTATCACCTTCACAGGTGTGTTTGTTGTGGACATGGGAGAGGACCTTCTCTGTTGCTGCTCTCAGGTTCTGGAACTCTCTCCCACAGGAGACTAGGCTGGCCCCATCTTTGATGTCTTTCTGAAAGCAGGCAAAGACCTTTATATTCATGTAGGCTTTGCCTACATGATGGTTGGACAGTGTCATCGAAGCGGCCAACATGAATTTGGCCCAGCTCCGGGAGGCAGTGGAAGACAGGAGGGCCTGGCGTGCTCTGGTCCATGGGGTCACGAAGAGTCGGACATGACTAAACGACTAAACAACAACAACAACAAAGGCTTTGCCTTAGTGACTGGCTGTCTGAGAGGGGTTTTTTAATGGATTGCTGTGCCTTGCTGCTTCGAATGTGTTTTGGTATTGATTTTGTTTACCATTTTTTGTGTGGTATTTGTTTGAATCTTTTTAAGCAATTGCATACTTATTGCTTTTAGCTTTTAAATATTGTATTTCAATGATGAAAGCTACATTGATTTCTCTTTAAGGAGAAAAGCAGGGTAAAAATATTTTGCCAAGTCCCTGTAATAATTTTATTTTCCAAAACACTGGAAACAGATGACTAGAAGATCTTTCCTCCAATATCCAGTATTTGTTCTAAGTTTCCAATTATTTTCTGAACCAATTCAGACCTTTTTCAAATATCAATATGTCACCTTCAATGCTACAAGACAGAATATGTGCATGTATTTCTACTTGTCAGCTCTTTGTTTCTGTTTTGTCTCTTTGATGCAGGTAAGCAAGAAGTACCATAAAGCAGCATATGCCATGGTACACTAATTTTAGTCACAGCACAGGCAGAGCTACTGTTTTTGCCTCTGAAGGACAACATGAACCTAGAGTAAATGAACTGTATGGTTAATGCAAATGTTAAATTAAAACCTGGTAGTAATTCTGCATGTTTCTTTCAACATAGATCTTTCTATAAATTATCTTCTGAACAAGATAACTTAGATGTTGACATTTATCACACTTAGGGCATTAGTGGAATTAAAACAGGCAGTCCTGGCATTTATTGATAAATCTCAAAGCCAAAACAAAGTACCTATGGCTAATGACTAAATTATACTGTTTTCCATTGCTTCACATGGCAGGCTGGAATATATCCAAAATAAACTTAGAGAGAGAAACATTTCCTTCAATGTACTTGCCACAAAGGACTCAGATTCAGTTTTTAACAGTTGCCCATGTCAACGCTGACCTGCTTGGGAAATATTAGGAATTGTAGACATGAACCAGGATAGAATCTGGACTAATTTACAGGAGCTCCACACATTGTAAAGGGAAAACAAGTGTTACCCAAAACAAACTGGACATTATTCCAATTAGGTTTCTCACACAAAGTATACATATGTTTGAAGATGTCACATTTATGATGCCCATTCATTTGCCACATTTATAACAGTAAAAACAGCAGAGTCCTGTGTTATGATAAAGCTAGACAGTTCTCTCTCCCCTACATGCCAAAGGTACTCCACTCAGATCCTACTCTCCACCACTTCCCACAACGTGTTTGTCAGTCTTTCTAAGTTGAAGGAAATCATGCTAGAACATGGGGTCTCTTTCCCTGATAAATCTTGTAAAGTGGGGATAAGAATGAGGATGCCAAAAAATACTCAGTGAATCCTGGGTTTGCCCATCTGGGTTATTTGTCATGTTTATATTTCCTAAGGCCTTTTGCCATCAGGTGTTCATGATATCTCTTCATCTCGAATTACATATTCTGAGGTTAGTCATGCAGTATATTTAAAAAATTATGTACAGTTTCCAGGACAGAAGAGGGTGGATAGGAAGTCCTCTGGGGTTCTCCAAATATTGCATTTTGTTTATTCTTTGAAATGTGAGGGGAGTTTTAAGCTGGTTTGGAAATGCTGTCATCCTTTTCTTTATTTTTGTCTTTAAAGTTAAATAAAAATGAGTTAAAATGAGGATCTGTATTCAAACTCAGAAGGTTTTACTCTGCAGTAGGAATATTAATCTGGAGATTTTAATCTGCATTGTTTACATGAAGGGGGACAAAAAGGTCAGGTTCAGTTATTTCAGGCTAGTTTAGCTGGACTTCAGCATGATGCACATGTGCTCTGACCATAAAGTCAAAGTGAGCTTAATAATAATTTTTTTAAGAACCCAGAAAGGCCAACATTACTTTTTAGAGTAAGATGGGGGAGGGGGTTATCTTACATTTTTAAGAGGAAGCACAATGGCTGCCTCAAAAACAGCAAGCCTTAAAAGGCAGCGGGTGACACTTTGGACCTAATGGATGGCACAAGCTATTGAAGTGATTCAGCAATAGTGTGCCTGAAAGATGAATTGCAAAAGAGACAGATGACAGTTTTATAACTCTCAAATGTCTGTGAAGTGATGGACATCCCACCATTCTTTTCAAAGCTGACTTATCTTTTAACCTATCTGAAAGGCTCATTTTCTATACCAAAGTACTGTCAGCAGACAGTCAAGGCAGCATCAGAGGCACTGAGAAACAGTTTAACAGACTATATTGTATTGCAGCTGAGACAGGGGAAAGAATAACATCTACTTATCTTCAAAGTGTATATACTCTTCCAGAAATTCCCTTCTTTTCCCTGTAGACAAACTGCTTCTTCCTAGATTTATAACCTGGCCCCTTGATCTTTTTTGAAAACATGTTTTTTATTTAATATATGGCTTTTCAATCTTGTAAAATGCAAGCTAAGGTACCACTGAGCTGCAATAAATATTTATAGGGGATTCTGTGGCACATTATCAGTTATGAAATGTGTCACCCAGATCTCACCTATCAAGAGCAGTTGAATATACTGGAAAGAGTGAGGCAATTTCATTGCCATGCTCACACATTTCTAGCCACAATTCATGTTTGATGTGAAAATGTTGCACTCAACTCTTCAGTAATGGGAACACTCTCATTCTTAGACTCAGACTTCACTGTAACAAAACTCTCTTTCACCAAACGGACTATTTCTAATAGAACTAAAACTGACCTCAACTCCCACCCAACTGTTCTCTCTAGGGCTGCACCCTTCTGTGTTTTTGGAACACAACACTTTAGAGTTGAGTCACATGATGGTGGGGTGGTTGACCAACCAGCAGGGGCCCGGCCCTCCTGGGCACATAGGATGTGATTGTGATGAGATGGGTTTTTGAGTTAAAATCTTTTAAGGCATATGGGTTTTCTAATTATGAAATGAGCCAGAGAGGTTCCATCTTGTTTCTTTGTATAAAGTATCTTTGCTATGCTGACAAGTTGTTTTCTAGGCAAGCAGAGAGAATGTTATAGTGATGAGTCATGGTCTTCCTACCCATTAAGCTCTATAGAGTGTGCTTCTGAAAGAACTGCAACTCCCAGAAAGCTGGTTTTCTATTTTAATTAAGCACAGAAGCAAAGGTCAGAGAAGGCAATGATGAGAATGTGACAATGTTGGAGATACGTAACCCAAAAGCCCTTCCTTGGGGGGGGAGGTGTGGAAAATCTAGAAGTCCATAGATTTGTGCTTATGGGCTGCAACTTCCAGTATTATGCCTGGGGAATTACTCTAGAATTGGGTGTGTGTGTGTTGCAATTCAAAACTCAAAAGAAAATACCCATAGCAATCAATCAATCTCTCTCTCTCTCTCTCTCTCTCTCTCTCTCTCACACACACACACACACACACACACACACACACACACACACAGAGTATTATGCCTGGGGAATTATTCTAGAATTGGGTGTGTGTGTGTTGCAATTCAAAACTCAAATGAAAATACCCATAGCAATCAAGCAACCAATCTGTTTCTCTCTCTCTCTCTCTCTCTCTCTCTCTCTCTCTCTCTCTCTCTCTCTCACACACACACACACACACACACACACAGAGAGAGAGAGAGAGAGAGAGGCAAGCATACCAGCCAATTCGGACACAATATAAACAATGCAAAATTGCTACAGAAAGTAAAGGTGAAAAAGATGTTGGTGGGGTGATATTAAGGATACAAAATAGTGCTGAGTAACAACCGAATCTTGTCAATGTGGCTTTCCCCATCTCTAAAATCTGTTGTGCTGCACTTCATTGTGTGTTCACATATGTGTGCATATTTTTTTCTACAGTCAACTCAGTCAATCACGTAAGGCAGGAATCCACATTCCTCTCCATATATCCATACAGGGACAGATACAGTATTATAATAGACTCATCCACGACATCTTGACTTACATACTAAGTAGGTTAGATGTGGTAGCACTATAACATAATGTGTCTACCCATTCAGCAGGAAAAACAACAATATGATTTTTGCTATGAAAGCTAGAATTGATCTGTCATATTTTCCATCATGACACCAAACACAGCAAAATGGACGGGAAAGTAAAGAACCTCACACCCACCACCTATGCGGTCTCTGCATCAGTAGCATTCTTCAAATTGACTTACCGAACATCTGTACAGGTTATACATGAGATGCACCGACTATTTGTTGTAATGAGGTTCAGTGCCACAGATGTCTCACTGTCAGAGGTAGGGTGTGCTCCACATTTAAAGTAGAATTCCTGCAATATTGAAGAAAAGATAAAAGGGAGATTACATACCAGCACTTCATGTCTTCTCTTTATCTTACTCTAAGTGAAGTTTGAGGCAGTAGATAAATTACTACTGCCAGAAGAAAAAGAGAATACTCATTAAGGAAGTTTTATAAAAAAAAAAATGCCTTCCAGTATCTTTGTACAAGGTATGTATGTTGTTCTTTGGACATCATCTAAAGAGGAAATGTATCGGGACTTTTTATAGTTTCAGTGCTTCATCGCTAGACTTTGTTTCTTGGATTCTGTTTGGGGAATTAACAGAGAACAAACAGGACTGAGAAACACGAAAAAAAGACCTGTTCTTATCAATAAAGAAATAGCAATCAATAGAAAATCAGCAATCTCTAAGGTCCGAACTGTCAATATAACACTGTTGCTCCAAGGATCCACATGTAGAAAGACATCTCCTATCTTTCAAGAAGAGGTGGTAGAAAAAAGCCACCTCTTTCAATATCTAGTGCCTTTTTGTTGACATTATAAAGGGTCTCTCAAAGGTATCTGGCTCTGAAGCCAGAGGTTGGGAATTCAATTCCCTACTGTACACCATTGGCAGAAGCTGTAATCTATGACACATGGGTCCCTTCCAGCTCTGCAGTTCTAAGACTATTTCAATTCAAATAATTTATTGTCATTGTAAGTATATACATGGTATACCCATACAAAGAAATTCACACAGGCACCCAGAGACCAGACCCACATACACACACAAAAAAATTCCCTAAACACTCTCCCACCCACTAAAAATCCCCCACTAAAAATACAAACATCTACACCGCAGGCCAAGTAACACAGTCCAACTAATTATTCACTACTGGTGGTTTTTAAGCTCATTATTAATTGCAATTATAGCTCTGGGATAAAATCTGTTTAGAAAACGTGTGGTCCGAGTCTTAATTGTTCTATATCTTCTGCCAGACGGCAACAGTTCAAAAAAGTTGTAAGCAGGGTGGGAAGAGTCTCTCAGGATGTTGTGTGACTTCCTCAGACAGCGGGATGTGAAGTTGTAATCCAGGGTTGGTAGCTGGAGGCCAATGATATTCTGGGCATTTTTAATGGTTCTCTGTAGACCTTTTTTTGTTTGCTACAGAGCTACTCCCAAACCATGCCAGAATGCCATAGGTCAGGACACTCTCAATGGTGCTACGATAGTAGGACAGAAGTAAATGCTGAGATAACTTTAACTTCCCGAGCATTCTCAGGAAATACAGCCTCTCCTGTGCCTTCTTCACTAGCATGTTGGCATTTATAGTCCATGAGAGGTCCTCTGAGATGTAAGTGACCAGAAATTTAAAACTACCAACTCTATCCACTTCCTCGTCATTTATGTATAGTGGTAAATGTACATTTCTCTTCCTCCTAAAATCAATTATGAGATCTTTAGTTTTTTTTATGTTAAGTGTAAGATTATTTTCTTTACACCAGAGTATTTAGATATAACTGGGACATCATGCATTCAGAATCTGGAGTGGTAAGAAGCTAGAGCAGTAGTTGGAGCTGGAGGATTAAGAGGAACAGAAAATGATGAAGCAGTTGAAACAGGAGGGAGTTCCGGCCTGAACAGTTTTCAGGCTGAAATACTATTTGCTTAGAATGCTGTTTAACTAAAAATCCCTTGAGGTAATTTATATTATCGATGTCAAAGGATCCACTTCGTGGCCAATGAAAATTAGGATCCTCAGATGTGCAATCATTCCAGTTTTTCTGGCAGAAAGAAATTAATCTTCTAAGAAACATACCACAAGGCAAAACTTGCCATTGCCATTACAGTACTACTATACTGTCTGACCAACTGACCCAGGCGTTTTCCTAGGGAAACCTAAAATTATTTTGTCCCGTTGTTACTTTAACTGTCTCTTCCTTCCCACAGGAAAGTGTAGTCCAAAGGAGCCAATCCCAAAATTGCTCAGAAGTTCACTCTGTGCTCCCCCTTTTTATGACATAATTTTGGAATAGAAAAAGGGAAAGTGATTCTTACTGCTCCCAGCAGCCAGGACTGTGGGAGGAAAGGAACAGCTCAAGTGGGCTGTCCTGTCCCCTTCAACCTCCTCTCCCACTTCATACCCTTACAGAAAGTCACAGCCATTTCATCCCGCTGACTGCACCAAATTGCTGGGGAAGACTTGTCCCAGTTCTTGGCTGAAGATCACTGTAACGGCCTCCTTTCACCCCACAAAGGAAGGTCGCTACGTCACCACACTTCTACACTTCAGGTAGTCTGCCACCAACCATTCCCTGAATTGAGTCACACAGACAGGAATGGATTTAGAAATAAAAAGAACTAAATGTTTATTGATTGGTACACACGGATTGGTAAAACGCAAATATCATGTAATCAGGTAAAGAAAGGCTCAAGCTTATACAGACTCTCCACACGTGTTCACACAGAACACAACTCCAGCTCTCCTCATCAAGTGGGCTGTCCTGTCCCCTTCAACCTCCTCTCCCACTTCATACCCTTACAGAAAGTCACAGCCATTTCATCCCGCTGACTGCACCAAATTGCTGGGGAAGACTTGTCCCAGTTCTTGGCTGAAGATCACTGTAACGGCCTCCTTTCACCCCACAAAGGAAGGTCGCTACGTCACCACACTTCTACACTTCAGGTAGTCTGCCACCAACCATTCCCTGAATTGAGTCACACAGACAGGAATGGATTTAGAAATAAAAAGAACTAAATGTTTATTGATTGGTACACACGGATTGGTAAAACGCAAATATCATGTAATCAGGTAAAGAAAGGCTCAAGCTTATACAGACTCTCCACACGTGTTCACACAGAACACAACTCCAGCTCTCCTCACACATCAAACTCTCACTCTCTATATATACAACACAGCTCCTCCCCCTGATGTCCCGCCCTCCGACCACCATTGGATGACATCTTTCCCTCCAACCCTTGAGGGACAGGTGACATCAGAGCTGACTGTAACAATCACAAAACAGAAGGAATGTCTAAGTGCTCAACATTTTAAAAAAACAGTCTCTGCCTGACCTACCAGCCAACAGGTTCTTTGCTAGATCTAAGAAAGACAATAGAGTGGTCCTGACCCGACCAGATAGGCGGGTTATAAATAAAACAAATAAAAATAATAATAATAGCTCAAAGCATCTACCAAAATCTCCAAGAAAGCCCAAGAACTCCATACAACCAAGTACCCTGAACCATAAAATTAATTCTATAAATAACTACCCAGAAAGGTCCAATTCATTAAACCTGGAAGGCACCGTAGCAAAGTCAAACAGTACTGGAAGTATCCCAACTGATTCTAACTCTTTGAACAACTTAATCTCTCTTAGCAGCCAGTCTGAACAACCAAAGAACCAGAAAATAGTGACGGTTCATACAAACTTTGAATCCTCCACCAGATCTAGTGTGGCTCGGTAAGCAGCTGCCAGCTCAAATGGTGAAGCGTGCGTACCTTCACTCAGTCAAATCACTCAAGACACTTTGATGGAGCAAGCTGATCACCGTGGCTCCATCTGTAAATAGAACACCCCAGGGAACTCACTGAAATGTGCCTCTTGGAACATTTCTGGTTGGCCCAACAGAAAAATCTGACAGCTCATTCCTAATGCATCTTAAATCCTTTGATGTCATATTCCCACAGGAAACATAGTGTACTGGTGTAAATGACTATAAAACCTTTGCAGTCCCTACAAATTCCTCTAGAGGTCAGGGGTGACTTGGGGGGGGCTAGCCTGCTGCATAGCGACCTCGCTGAAAGGGGAAAGCCAGATGGTTAGTAATTTAGAACCCTGGGCTATGGCAATATCTTTGAAGTTAAACCTTTCATTCTATGTTATGGTTATGGTTAATGTGTATATTCCACTTTGGAATTCAAACTCTTATCGTGAGAATGCTTGGGAGAAACTCTGAGACTATTTACTATTCCCCAAAGCACATGTAATTATAATGGGTAGCTTTAATGCCCATACTGGCCCAAACTGGGAATCGTTCCAACAAACCATACATCTCGGTTTAGAAGAATTCCCACAAATGAAAACAGACATTCTAAGGACCATGCTACAAATATTTAAGAGAAGGTCCTTATGCAAATGTTTTTGCCGGCTGATCTCTACATTTTGAATGGTTCCCAGAAAGAAGATAAATAAGTAAATCTTGATTTAAAATAAAATGAAGAGGGGCAAGGCCCCAGGAAGGAATGGTATCTTGCCTGACTTCCTGATTATTCACAATGGTGGATCCCAATGCCAGCTGCCTTATTTACTTCTGTAGATAGATCTGAGAAATTCCCTTCAGAAACGGCTGAAGCTACTTTAGTACCTATCTATAGGAAAAGTGTTTAATCAGACCCTAGAAATTATCACCCTATAAGCCTCCTAGATGAAGTCAGCAAATTGTATGCTAGACATCATTTGGATAAGCTGGGTGTCCTCAGAGAACCTCTTGGCAGAGGAACAAGCCACAATTATAACAAAGCTGGGTTACTCCCCAGCCTACCTCCATAGGAGGGGATATGAGGCCGCCTGAGAAGATATTATGAAAAGAGTATATCCAAACTACTTATGGCATCTGTAGCCTGTTGCAGCTCCAATAGCATATACAAAGTCTTTTCCTTGCCTTTTGGAAAGCTTCCCCTTTATTTGCCCCTTATTAACTCACATGGGCTGAGACAAGTGCTAAATAGGTACAGACTGAACTTGTTACAGCTGAAAGAGATTGAGGGCTGTTACATGGAACAACATGGTACAGGCAGACACTGCCCAGCAGGATGCTCTAAAATGGAGGGCATGGTGCATCTTCTAACAGAATGTTCTCTGTCTGAGGAACCAATATGTAAAGCCTTAACAGCCAGGATCGTGATCACTTCCCATCTATCTATCTATCTATCTATCTATCTATCTATCTATCTATCTATCTATCTATCTATCTATCTGCCACCCACACTACCCAAAGGTCTTTGGGCGCAGTCTATGCACAGTCCTTTTCCTGCTAGCTGGCACAA